TCTAGTTGCTGGAGGAGAACGACCAGCTGATCCGGTGCATCGTGGAGTACCAGAGCAAGGGCCGCGCCACCGACTGCGTGCAGTAAGTGAGCCCGCGCGGGTGCCCCCAGAGCTCCCAGGTCCCCGCTCTCCTCGTGAGACGCGGTTCCTGCTCTCCAGAGCTTTCCTGTCGTGAAGGAAAATGCGCAGTTGTTTTTCTTAAGAGGCTTCTGAGAAAGTATTTTCTCCCATCTGTAAAAGTGCCACTGAACGGAATAAATGTGATGCCTGCACCTTCTTGTCAAGGTTTTTGCTCTGTACTGATGTGAAGACCAGCTCTGTTGGGCAGGCTTTCATTTCTCGCCCAGTGTGTGTAGAACACTGAGTGGTATTTACAGAAGAATGAAGTTAGTCAGCTTGTGGCTCCTGAGCTTGCGGAGGACCTGAGGGGCAGGTAGGTTGGCAGTGGCTGCCGAAACTGGGTACCTGCTGGCAGAGTGTTCAGCCCAGCAGTGGGGCTTTGCCATCTACCCCCCTGGGCTACTTCCCTGTTGATCATACAGAGATCTTGATATCCACGTTGGCTATCCTCAGGGTTGGTGAGTAGCACATACTTGGTTACAGTGCAGTATACTGGGAATTGGAGTAACAGGATAAGGAGGCGTTTGTCCCAGTTTATTATTACTATTTCCATAGTTTGCTATTTCTCTAACAGCAAATACTGATAAGATTACAAAAGCAACTATTAAAGTGGGGATAGTTTGCTAGAAATGAATACGTTTCCTAAATACTGTTTTTTCCTCTCATAGGTACCAGGATATCCTGCACAGAAACCTCATTTATTTAGCTACAATTGCTGACGCGACACCCCCCAGCACGCAGAAGGCTGCAGACTGACTGGGCGTGCCTGGACACAAGCCCTGATGCTTTAAGAATCTGTAGAAATACCTAGCTTAGTGTTCCACTTTGAGAGCTGGAAAGGTGTGATCTTGAAAGGCAGGTAAAAAGCCATCCATATTTATATGTTAAAAAATATGGGGTTTGATGTCATATTAGGCTAGTTTTTTTCCCCATTAACACAAGCAGAACTTAAGGGTGATAATTATCAAGCTCCCTTTTTCCCTTAAGAAAAACTCCACACAGTACTTTTGAAAATAACCTGGTATTCAGGACAGCACTGCCAGAGATACCTTTGGAGGTCTCCTGCAGTCTCATTGAAGCAGACCCTTGTTTCAGGACTAAAGTTCTATAACAGGGTAAACATTTAGTCAGGCAACTTCTCTACCTCCCAGTATGACAAAGTCATTCATGCATTGCCATAGATATAAGCAGTAGACTGTTTTGTATTGTTGGAATTGTGCTTAATAAATATTCTTTGATTCATAACATTCTGGATTAATGTAATACATTAAGAAAGGAGCAGCTCTGTCATTTAGTGAAATGGAACTGTTAACTTTTCTAGGAAAGATGGGACTGTTGCATAACTTAGAACAATTACGTGCAAAGGAGAAGTCAAGCCTTTATTTCAGTGAGAGAAGGCTGTGTTTGCCCTAGTTGTGTCAGCTTTTCCTTTTCGTTTGGAATGTTCTGTACTGCAGACTCTGTAAACAAGTAAATTCTTCCATCAAAATGGATTCATATGCTCCCTGGGTATTTGTCAGCATTATATTCAGCTGTATGCTTGTGAACTCTTACCCAGAAAGAGCACAGCTTGCTTGCACACCTCAGATTGTGCGTCAACTAAACTAATAATGACAATAATTCTGTGAGGGAAGAGTTTACTTTTTGCTCACTGCCATCAGAATTATTTATGATCACTAAAAATTCAAGTAACTTGGTTTTGGCAATGTTCATCTGCACTACTAGTTCAAAGAGACTGCTAAGGCATTTTCTGTATCACATCCTTCAGTGCAATCTACTTGAAAAAGTAGCCTTAGAAATGTTTCAAATTGCACAGTGCATATAGTTAATTTTATATGATGAGTCAGTAAGTAGGCAGTTGACAATTTTCAAACTGTTAAATAATCCCATGTTAATGAAATAAGATCTTTGTTTACAAACTGAAGTTACAGTTTAAGGTGCTGCTCATTTTCAGCAAGGTGCATATTTTAAACAGGTATGACCTATTAAATGTATATCTTTAATAAAGCAAATAGTTTACTTTTACATAAGCTTTTAAATACAAAATGTACAGTTCCAGTTCAGAAGCATTAGCTATTCACAAGAAGCACTGCAATAAGGGTAAGTTAACTAAGCACCAAACCCTTGCACTTGGCAGTGTAAGTGAAGTTTAATGGCAAGACTCATTTGCCAAGTGCAACAATTCTTTAAATTACCAGTGTTCAGAACAATGGGAAGCAAAGGACAGAGTAGCACCTACGTGGTCAGAATGCAGACAAACTTTGTTTTCGCAATTCACTTGTGTAGGTCCAGAAACTTGCCAGCACTTGTAGTTACGAATAAATTGCAAAAACCATAGCAATAATTTTGGCACTTGTTAGAAAGAGTTCAAAATTAAGTATTTTTGTTAACTTTGATTTTGGTCTTAGTATGAATAACCAGTAAGCACAACCAAATGTAGGATTTAGTAGTAATCTAAATGACAAGATTTGGGAAACTCAAACCCATTCATCAAGTTAAATAACTACTAACATTTTCAGCAGAGGGTTTTCAAAATTATAGTAGTACAGACCATTAACAATTTACAGACAGAAGCCACACTGATTGTGCAAAGCACATTACTGTAAAAAGTCTATGTACAGCAAACAAATCTTTGTAAACATGGTAAGTATGAAGTTTCAGAAAACATGGTGACAATATCATAAATACAGGCAACATTGGCATCCTCAAACAGCACAAAAGGTAACAATCTGGGCCTGCAAATACAGCCCGTCACCATACAAACAAAAAAGTGGGTGGGTTTTAAATACCCAATGTTTAATAGTTTTAGTGTTGTGTATATTTTTTATTTATATATATATAATGGGTTTTTTTGGTATCTTTAGATATAGATGTACTTAGTTTGTAAAAACAAAAACAACAAATGTGCTTTATCTTCATTGAAAAATTATGTAGTTAGAACTAATAACCCATTTTACTAGTAGTTAACGTATTAGAATGATATGACTTAAGAAAAATACAAAAATAAGATTAATACTGTCAAAACTTTTATACCAGAAAATATTGTGGTTTTTAGACTCTTTCAAAGATGAAATATGAAAATTTAAATAAGCTCTAACTATATAAAGAATCTTCTGTAATCTGAATTAATATACAGTGGGATAGCTATACATATATTTACCATTGTTCTTCAATTTTTAAGCACCAGTCACTCCCGGATCCACTTTGGTTGGAAGATTATTCCTAATTCCACAGGTTCACTTAATGGCACATATTGACTGCAAATAATTATCCTTTTAAAAAAAATAATGTTCTTTTAACTAACTGCTACCCCACATTTCAGTTTAGTATCTTCTGAGCCAGCTCACAATTTTTCATCAACTGTAGCATCTGAAATAAGACTTTTAAATATATGCAAGTAGTCTTTTAGGCTATCACACTTAAGGAGCACTGTGTGGATAATGCCTTTGGCCAAATGAAGCAGGAAGAAACGGTGTATTTATTTCCAAACCAGTGTCAACATTATCCACACATATGCTGTCTGCTTTAAGCAGCTCCAACTGACATTTGTGACACAAGGTTGAGTGGTTCTGCTATTCTTTACTTAGAGTAAGAAAACTACCACTAAACTCAATTTTGCAACTGTTTTTGCAGCAGTTTCATCATAAACTCACTTGTGTGGCACACAAAAAGCTGCTGTTGCACTTTGTTGGAAAAAAGCTGCCCACAGGCCATTTATGGAGAATACAAAGGCTTTACAGCTTGTCCATTATAAATATAAACACAGTGTTGAGCAAGGTGACCACTATATATTTGCTTCAACATATTCAATGTGTTTCAGTAAGATGTTGAACTATAAATCTATATGAAAAATAGCTATAAAATACAGTGTTTCTTGTATGGTAGTCTTTCAGCAGTTCTTAAAAAAATGGTTTGAAAGTAAAGGCAATATACACATTTTTAAAAGCATTTCTACATCACAGTTTTGGGCTGTTTCATGTACATCAAACAAACATATTGGCCATATTTGCTCAGCACTGTATATCAGAATTCAAGAGTTTGTGTATCTCACTGAAACCCCCTTAATTCCATATTTCATGAAATTATCAGGATGTAGCCAACACACAGTAGTGAAACAGAATGTAATTCATGTTTGGCCCTGTGCTGCGTTTTCCAATATGAATCGCCATTAGTACTGATGCAGGTAAGACGGTCTGCGTTCGTGCTTGACTGGAAAAGATTTAAAGCCCTTATTCATTTGTTTGTGCTGGGAAGCCTGTTGTGATTGCTGCTGCTGCTGCGCATA